TCTTCACAGGGCACAATAACCTCTAGATTGCATATAGGGCACAATAACCCCTATCCTATTTCACGTAAAATTTCTTTTATATATATATTAAAAAAAAGATAACAAACGTAAACAAAAAGATACATATATAAATTCATCTTCATAATAACATAAAAAAAATATAAAAGAAAAATAAATAAATAAATAATAAATATATAAATAAATATGAATGTTTCAAATTTTGAAATAATGGACACACACCAAAAATAATAAAATAATTTTTAATATATTTAAAATAAATAAGACGATTTTTAAAAGGTTTAAAATAAATGAGAGAATAAATTAAAAAAAAAGAAATATTTTTATTATTAAGTTAAATAATATAATGTCCAAAAATTAAGTCAAGTCATACTAAAGTCAATAAAGCGACCGTGCTAGAACCACGGGACTCGAGGGGTTCCTAACACCTTCCCCTCGGTCAACAGAATTCCTTACCCGGATTTTTAGTTCGCAGACCAATAAAAAATAGAGTCAAATTTCCTTTTGATTAGGGATTTAAATAAGGTGACTTGGAACACCAAAACTCAATTCCAAGTGGCGACTCTGAATAATAATTATCCCTTTTCAAAATGTCACTTTAATTGGAAAAACTCTTTTTTTTCATTTCAAAAAATAAAAATCAAAAAAATATAAAATCGATATTGAGAGAGAAAAAAAAGGGGCGTGACAAACTTGAACTTTATGTTGAACTTTATCTTGAACTTAAGCTTTATCTTGATCTGGACTTCTAGTTAAATCCAAGGGCTTCAAGCTTTATCTTGAATCCAACGGTCTTGATCTTGATCCTTTTTTATCTTGATTGGTCTTGAAACTTAAATGCTTAAATTCTTAAACTTGTAAAGAAATCTGTAGCTTTTGATCCACGAGCTTTCAGCTACTTGTTAAAATTCTTGGTTCTCTTTTCTGAATTATGAGACCCCTATATATAGGTTTAGAATAGAGGAGTTGCAATTGGAATAGGACTCCCTTCGGCCAATCAAATTTAAGTGAAATATCATATGGGCTTTATGCAGCGGGCTTTAATTAAATTCATCTTTATCTAAATATAAATTAATTAATTAATTATATTAATCCATAATATTTATTTGGTCTAATATATTCATTAATTTAATATATTTAAAATCATTTAATAATTCATTTTTTAAATAAATTTTAAATTATTACAACCACGTGACCTTTTTTTGCAGCCTTATTATCCTCTTTGATTCTCAACCTTACTATGAGATCTTCAACAGTCATCTCCTTGTGTTTACGTTTCAAGTAGTTTTTGAAATCCTTCCACAATGGCAGCCACTTGAAAGGCATCATTCACAATAAACCCTTCAGCAAAGAGATCATGGATTATGACCTACAGTTCTTGAACTTGAGTGACGACGGTCTCACTGTGTATCATCTTATAGTCTAGAAACTTTGTCACTATGAACTTCTTCATTTCGGCGTCCTCTGTTCTGGTACTTCTTTTCTAAATCATCCCAGAGTTCTTTTGAGGTTTTGACATTGTACATCTTGTACAGATCGTCTTGCAGGCCATTACACAAAAAATCTGAGTGTGTCCATGCTTCTATTACCAAGAATTGTTCTTCAGGTGGACTATCATCCGACATAACTGGAATATTCTCATTAATGAACCTCTGCACACTCAATGTAGTGAGATGGAAGAACTTCTTCTACTGCCATCGCTTGAAGTCGACTCCAAAAAACTCTGCAGGTTTCTCAGTCGGTGCTAAGGCAGCAGTTGAATGATTGTGTGCAACTGATGTTGTTGCAGCACTCACTATTCCAACATTTTCTTGACTTGAATTAGTAATTTTCTGGCAGAAATAGCAAATAAATTTAGTATGTAAAATACTAACAATAAAGAATAAATCTTTAAAAGTCTGCTTCTAATTTAACTATAAACTTTTTATGTTCTATTAATCGTTAATCGAATAAATTTAAAATTCAAACAGAGTAGTAAACCATAAAGATTTTAATCTCCAGAAACCTCAATTACAGAAACTTATTAAATTTCTTAATCTTGTTATAAACCTGTACTTATAAACTTAATCAAAACAGAAATAGAAATAAGGTGAAGTAGAGAGAAAATAAAATAATCCGAGTCCACAGAAACTATTGTGTCTCCTTAAGAAATTTAATCCCCTCACTGTACCCGAGGTTATAGATTAATTCTCCCAAGATAAAATGGATTGATCCTGTTAAAGAAATAGAGGTACCTCAAACTTCTTTAACTTCAGCGAACATAAGAATAGAAACAAATCACACAGACTCAGTCGATCGACACTTTAATTTTGAGAGAAAATATATGCAGAGAAGGAAAAAAATTTCAGTGTTTTAAAAACAAAAAATGACTACCTTTTATAGCCATTTTAAGCAAGAAACGTGTTTGTTCAGAGAAATCTATTCAGACCTGATTTATCCAGAAAGTTGCGTCTTTTGGAAAAAATAATAACTTTTCGGAAAATGTGTCTGTTGAGAAAGAAATGACTTTTCAGAAAGTAACAACTTTTAGAAAAGAGTAACGACTTTTTGAAATGTTGCCGTTATATGCAAATAAATTCTTTAATTAACTAAACTAACTTCCTGAATTAATTTATATGAGATAAGATTAACATGATTTATTTGATTAACAAAAATTGATTAAATAAATTTTGTCCAAAAACTTTATCAATCAACCACATCATTTGCCAAATCTGAATCCAAAGTCGAAGACGAAGTCGAGGTCGAGCAAGCGATGACGGCGCGAGGGGGAACCTTCTTCTTAGCTCCTTAAGAAGTAAAGGAAGTGTTTCCTTATATAAGGACAACTATTTCCCTTTCTTTTGCCGATATGGGAGAAATGACTTTTCATTTGCACTTTGCCAATGACTTTTCGTTTTTCCTCCAAATTGGTTCCCTCACTTTTCCATATTGTATCTTTTGTTTTTCCATTCACACTTTGCTAAACCCAACAGTTTCTACCAGATTTTGATATTATTCGGAGACTCCAAACGGACCGTCAAGATCCATTATGGACTCGATAAAAATAAACCAGATATGTCATTCTGGAATAAGAATCTACATTAAGGAAAAAGCTGAGTAGTTTCGCAAACGTATCTGAAGCAATGTAAAGCTTCCACCTGATACAGTAACATAATTATATAGTGTTGTATTGGCTTGTTAGCCTGATACAATGTTTTTTTAAACTTAATTTTATTGTATCCTATGATTTAATTTAATCATTATGTAATGAGGAAAAGACTCATTTGTGTAAGATCACATTAGAAGAAGAATAAATATTGAGAATTGAATTGATTGATCATTCCCTCAAGTTGATGGGATTAAACAGCTGTTACATAAATAAGGAAAGAAGATAATAAAATACTACACAATCTCCTAACTCCTTAATTAAAGATATAAGAGAATATTCTCATAACTAGATTATTTAGTCATAACATGTTTAAATATTCACATATCTACACCATCCAAATATATCATAATTAACAGTCCCCCTTAAGCTGGAGCATATAAGTCATATGCTCCTAGTTTGCCACAAATATAGTCAATTTTGGATCCTCGGGGTGATTTTGTGAAAATATCTGTTGTTGATCTTTTCAATTAACAAAACTTGTGGTGACATATCTAGACGCAATCTTCTCTCAAGTGAAGTGACAATTTATCTCAATGTGCTTCGTTCTTTCATGGAACACTACATTAGAAGTGATATGTAGTACAACTTGGTTATCACAAATCAATTGGTTCAAATCCTCCCATCTTCAATTCATGGAGAAGTTGTCTCAACAGTATAATCTCACACATAGCTAATTCCGCAACTCGATATTATGCCTCTGCACTTGATCTAGTTACTACAACTTGATTTTTAGTTTTCCAAGATATTAGATTGCCTCCAATTAGAACACAATAACCTAAAGTGGACCACCTATCAGAAAAAGATACTTCCCAATTTGCATCAGAATATACGACAATGTTGGTGTGTTCCTTATCTTCATATAATAAACCTTGTCATGGAGAGTTTTCTATATATCAAAGAATGCAAATCACTGCATTCCAATGACTATCACAATGTGATTGCAAAAATATTCTTACTACACTGACAAAAATGAGATGATTGGTCGTGTTATCATAAGATAGTTAAGTGTGCCAACAAGTCTTCAGTGTCTACTGGGATCTTTTAGAGGCTCCTCCTACCCTAGTCTTCGATACCAACATCTTTCAAAATTTCTAAGGCATATTTCCTTTGAATAAAAGCAATACCATGGACAGATTGTGCCACTCCAATGCCCAAAAAGTATTTCAACTTGTCCAAATCCTTAGTCTGAAAGTGACTTGAGAGGCGTTGCTTGAGTTGAGCAATAAATTCATAATCATCATTAGTTATAACAATATCATCACCCTAAACAATTTAAAAGATATGTTTGCCATGAGATGAATGTCTATAGAATACACAGGGACCCGCTTTTGTTCGGATCATTCCAAACTCTTGGAAAATAGCTCAAAAAACGACCAAACAATGCTCGGGCAGACAACTTGAGACCATAGAGGGAATAATGCAGTTTACAAAATAGTCTAACCTCCCCCTAAACAACAAACCCTGGTGGTTTCTCCATATATATACCTCTTCAATTCTCCATGTAGGAATACATTTTTTATGTCTAGTTTAAAAAGGGCCCAATAATTCATTGCTCCCAACAAGATAAGAAATCGGACAAAATCCATATTGGAAAATGGTGAAGAAGTATCTATAAACATATGAGTTCCATCTGATCAATTTTGCAAAGTTGTAGTTCTCCCAGTAACTGTTTCTGTCTCCATTGCTCGATATTTTGATTCTGCACTAGATCGAGCAACCACATTATGTTTCTTAATCTTCCAAGACACAAAATTACCTCCTACTAAAATACAATATCCGGATGTTGAACGATTGTCAGAGGGTGATCGTGCCCAATCAGTGTCTGTATATCCAATGATATGCTCATGACCTTGATCCTCAAAGAGTAGTCCTTTCCCAAGAGCTGACTTTATATATCGCAAAATACGAACCACTACTTCCCAATGACTTTGACAAGGGGAAGTCATAAACTGACTTACAACACTCACAGGAAAGGAAATGTCATGTCTAGTCACTGTGAGATAATTCAACTTTCCAACGAGCCGCCTATACTTTTCAGGATTACTAAGTGGCTCCCCCTGTTCTGGAAGGAGTTTAACATTGGGATCCATAGAAGTATCAATAGCTCTACATCCCATCATTCCTGTGTCCTCAAGAATGTCTAAGGCATACTTGCGTTGAGATAACTATACCTGAACTAAACTGAGCAACCTCAATACCTAGAAAATACTTCAATCTGCCAAGGTCTTTAGTCTGGAAATGCTTAAATAGATGTTGCTTCAAATCGGTGATACCATATTGATCATTATCGTTGATAACAATATCATCAATGTAAACAACCAAATAGATACATCGACTTTGTGCAGAAAGCTGAGAAAACACCTAGTGATCAGCTCCACTACGAGCCATGCCAAACTGTTAAATTATTATGGTGAACTTCCCAAGCCAACCTCGCGGAGATTGTTTCATACCATATAGTGACCTAGACAATCGATATACAAGGCTACTAGACTGCCCCTAAGCAACAAAACCAGGTGGTTTCTCCATATAGACTTCTTCTTCAAGATGACCAATGCAGAAAAGCAATCTTATTGTCCAACTGATGAAGAGGCCAATGACGAATGACATCCATAGATAGAAAAAGGCGAACAAATGCTATTTTAGCCACAGGAGCGAAAGTGTTAGTATAATCTAGCCCAAATATCTGAGTATACCCTTTGGAAACAAGGCGAGCTTAAGTCGATCAACCTGACCGTCTAGGCCAATTTTGACAGCGTAAACCCAACAACAACAACCATATATTTACCTATAGGAAGGGAGACAAGCTCCCAAGTACCACTTTTATGCAAAATAGACATCTCATCAACCATAGCCTGTCTCCATACAGAATGAGAAAGTGCCTCACTTGTAGTTTTAGTGATGAAAATAGAGGACAAAGACTACACAATGGCAGAATGGGGTGATTCTAGACGATGATAACTTAAGAATGTATAATGTGGGTTAGTATTTAGAGTGGATTGTATACCTTTTTGAATTGCAAGTGGCTATCTAGGATGAGGCAAGTCCACAGTAGAAATAGGGTTTGGCGCATGACATGAATCATATGGGACTAGGCTGGACGTGGACAGCGATTGATAAGTTAGTAGTGATGTCACTACAGTCAGAGATGTAGAAGTAACCGTAGATTCTTCAAAGGTTGGCACAGCTAACACTTGAGGCATGAGTAAGACCATAGATACATCAGGATGGTCAGAAGATGTACAATAAGGTTGAAACTCAAAAAATGTAACATCAACGCACATAAGGTACCGATGAAGATCATGTGAATAACAACGATACCTTTTTTGAACCCTAGAGTAACTAAGAAAGACACATTTGAGGGAACTAGGAGCTAATTTATCTTTTCCTGGGGCTAAATTATGAACAAAGCATGTGCTCCCAAAGACACGAGGGGGGGATAGGATAGAGATGTGACTGAGGAAACAGTATGAAATGTGGAACCTGATTTTGAATAGAAGAAGAGGGCATTCTGTTAATTAAATAACAAGCTAAAAGGACTGCATCGCCCCAAAACGCAACGGAACATGGATTCATTGAGGAGAGTGTGAGCAGTCTCTATGAGATGTCTACTCTTTTTTTCTGCGACACCATTTTGTTGAGGAGTGTATGGACAAGATGTTTGGTGAATAATTCCACGGTGAGACATAAATTCCTGAAAGTGGGATGATAAGTATTCTAAGGCATTATCACTACGGAAAGTATAATAAGAAACACCAAACTCATTTTATATTTCAGCAAATAAATCTTTGAATATAGAAAATAACTCAAAACGATCTTCATTAAGAAAACTCAAGTGTATCTCGAATAGCCATCAATAAAACTAACAAAATAACGAAATCCTAAAGTGGAACTGATTTACTAGGACCCCAAATATCAGAATGAACTAATAAAAAAATAGACTCTGAACGACCTCAGTACTAGGTGAACATGTAGCACGAGTGTGTTTCCCTAGTTGACATGACTCACAATCTATTATGGATAAACTAGACAAACTAGGCACCATCTTTTGTTGTTTGGATAGACTTGGATGTCCCAAACGTTTGTGAATTAGATGTGGAAAATCTGTAACGGAGCATGCTGTTAGGGAATTAGAAGAGGTAAAATAGTAAAGGCCTCGTGATTCATGCCCTGTTCCAATCGTCTGTCCTGTACTGCGATCTTGCATGATATAAAAATCATTAAAAAAAAGTTATGCTAGAATGTAGGAATTTCGTCAAATGACTAACTGATGCTTAATTAAAAAGAGAACCAGGGACATAAAAAACATAGTCTAAGGTGATAGAAGGTATGGGCTTGGCTTTTCCAACCCCTTTTGGTTTTGTTTGGATCCCATTGGCTAAAGTAATAGATGAAAGACATTATGAATAAACAATAATAGACAAAAATGATTTATTACCAGAGATATGATCAGAAGCCCCCGAGTTTATGACCCATGATCCAAGAGTGCTAGATTGTGACACATAAGTAAAAGAATTACCCGCAACAGAAACATGAGTTTGTGCAACCGAAACTACTTGTGGAGACGTTTGTTTATTTGCATTATACCGAAGGAAATCTCTATATTCCTTTAGAACAAAAGGATCATAACTGGGTGGTGGACCATGCAAAAATATAACATATGTCACGAGTGTGTCCAGGTTTATGACAATGACTACACCTGGATCAAGGTTTTCCAAAACGTTCTCTCCCTCGTCTATTCTTCATAGATTGGCATGTACGTCGAAAAGTTCTGGAAGTGCTACACTAGTCTGAAATATTGGAAGCTGCAGGAATATGCCCACAGTGGCCTGAAAATTCTGATTTCGCCGGAATCTTGCTGGAAATGGCCCGAGAATCACCGAAAACCTAATTCTGGTGATCATATATAAAGAAAAGCGGTCGGAATCTGGTCGAAAATATTTGGCGACCCCAACAGAAGAAAAATTCTCGGAAAAAAAGTGATCGGAGACCACTCACGTGCCGTTGCGTGAACGTTGGGGTTTGGTCGCCTGAGCTTCCCGAGCCTCGTGACGGTGTTGTCTTTTCCACAACACCTTCAGAACAAAACATGACGCAAATCAGTCCCACTATCGTCACCGGAATTTGACACCGGTGAGTTGAACTTCTCGTTAATGCTCTGATACCATGTGAGAAATATATGGGGAAAAAATATTATTGAATTGTGTATCTAAATTTTATATTGAGACCCTATTTATAGACACTACATTAGAATCCTTTTCCGTCTAGTAATCCTATTCTTATTATTATTCCTATTCTTATTCCTAATCCTATTTCTATTTTAAGTAGGAAATACTTATTCTATTATAACAAATTGAATAGGTCTGTTGTCTTTTAAATTGATGACTTAATGATTGTGCATATCAACGAAAATTTAAGGAGACTTTTGAGGTATTTAGTATTTCTAATGGATAAAAGTTAGTATAATATTATTCACTTACTATTTTCTTTTTAAAAACGATATTGTAAGTATATATGGATTTCGAAGCACCCAAATAATTATTTTTTTAATAATTAATCGACCTTTAATACTATTGATTTACTATACAACTTATTATTAATTAATTGATGTAAATTAGCTTTAATGAGCAATTTTGTACATCAATATTTTTTTGAATGTAAGTGTTTAAAAGTATTCAAAATTGATAAAATTATAGTACATTTTTAAAATGTATTCTTCTTTAAATAATAAAATAAAAAATTTAATTGTGATAAAAGATTTTCAGTATGAAAATTTATTCGTAATAAACTAATAAAAAAATTACAAAATAATATGATCATTGTAGTTAAATAAGTTCAACGAATTAAATTAGTCTATTATTAAAAAAATTGATGACATGTCATGTCAACTAGGAGAGTGATGATTATGAAGTGTCAAGACTATATGGAGAAAAATAGTGATAGTTGAGTGATATTTTGATCTTAAATAAAACATAAATGATATTTTAAGACAATTCTCTTAACTTAGGTGATCATTTAGGGAATTGACTCATATCCATGTGAATAGAATTCACTCTTTGGTAGGTTACTGTTGGTCCAATCTTGATGGCTAAGCTGTAAATAGTCTTTTCTTAAACGGGAAAGAAAGGACACTCCATACAATTCGCACTCGCTTTTACTTATTTACTTTAAGTTTTGTTCTCATTATTCTTCTTATTTGATTAATTTGTTAAGCTAGTTATTTCATAACATGCACTTATTTTCTCCTAGAATAATTTTTCAAATGATATTTTGAAAATTTGAAATAATAAAGACAAGAATTGTAATAAGAAATTTGAATGACTAAACTAAACGTATTACTAGTAAAGTAGCAAACCTTGCAACTTATTGAAGAGTACATAACATGATGAAATTATTGAATTTGAAAATTAGTCAGTGGAGTATTGTCTAGGCTTGTCATTGGCTTCTTCAAAAATTATAATTTGTATCTTTAGCTTAACTATTATCAAATGTGTTTGTTCATCACGACTTGGAAGGGAATCAAAAGTAACAAGTCCTGTGTTTATGCACGAAAAATGGTCAAACAATGAAATTTGTTTGTCGAGAGTCTCATGTTTTGTCCCTTTTTGGTCAATTCAAAAAATGGTCATCCCTTTTAGTTTGTTAGCTTCATAGTGTGATATTTCTGACGTCGAACTTGCATATTCTTATAGAAAGCGATTATAAACATACATTTAAATTAATTGAAAGTTAAATATGTTGAAATTTAGCAATAATTGAAAGAACAAAAATTGCTATTCTCCCTCCCTCAAAATTTTTGGTACATATAGATTTCGGGAATTTGGTAAAAACAGTAGCTTATATACTATAAAACATGGTAGAATTCACACCATCAATACACAAAAAAATGTTACTTTTTTACATCAAAAGCCTATAAATCTCAAAGGAGGTTAATATAATATCCTTTTCTGAAAAATGAAATAAATTGATCGGAAGAGAAGAGAAAATCTAGGTTTTATACTCCCTATCCCTCTCTGCCTAATTATGTGTCTTTTGAATTTAGACATCAAATAAGAAAATATTTGACACACTAAGTTTATCATTTTATTCTTATTAATTATGAAGTGGATAAATTAAAAAA